AAATTCCCCTTAGCACATCACTTTCGGCATGAGCAGTGGGGCTGGCAAGCGCCCTGGGAAGCTGGCCGGCCCGACGGGTGACGCCCACCCAGCGGGGTATAAAGAGCCACCAGCCAGGATACCGGCTGCACTCGCGGTTCCTCTCTCAAGCTCTGCACTGGGCTCTGCATTTGGGGCTGGAGATCCAATTGCTTCCACCATGAGCTGCAGCATCAAGAGAACATCCAGCACCTCGTACAGGAGCGGTGGAGGTGGAGGTGCCTGCGGTGGCGGCAGTGGCAGGAGCTGCTCCGTCTCCTCCAGGCGCTACGCCTCCTCGGTGATAGGCGGCGGAAGCTATGGCGGGGGAGCTTGCAGCGCTGGCTACGCAGGGGGCATGAGCGCTGGCAGCCTCGGTGGGGGCTTTGGCGGTGGCCTGGGAGGAGGCTTTGGGGGCGGCTTTGCAGGAGGCTTCAGTGCTGGGGGGGACATCCTCCTGAGCGGCAATGAGAAGGTCACCATGCAGAACCTCAACGACCGCCTGGCTGCTTACCTGGACAAAGTGCGAAGGCTGGAGGAAGAGAACGCTCAGCTCGAGCACCACATCCGCGAGTGGTACAGGAAACAAGCTCCCAGCGCCTCCAAGGACTACAGCTCCTACTACCAGGCCATCGAGCAACTCCAGAATCAGGTAGGATGGCCCCGGCTAACGGGCCTCCATCTCCCCCACGCTACTCTCCCTTGTCAGGACTTCTCCTTCCCTCTGCCTCTGGCTCTGGAGGATGGGAGGGAGGCACCGGGCGGCCTCGCTGGGGCTACCGCAGGCAGAAGCCTGCTGAGCTGCGCCTCCCACCTCTTGGGTGAGCAAAGCCCCACACCACCCCGCAAGAGAAAGGGATGCGCTCTGGGGGCACAGCCCGAGGCATCAAGGAGTGCTCCACCAGCCCCAACACGCCGGCGCACGCCGCTGAGATCCCACGCTGTACAGGTGGCTCCAAAGCAGGCGCGTGGGGTTTGCAGTCCTTCCCTCGCTCCCACCCCGCTCAGCGGATGCAGTGCAAAGCCAAAGCACCCGGACTGCAGGGCCTGACCTCCCCGGGCCTCTGCGCACTCCTGCCTACGCCAGATGGAAGGACCAAGGCCGTCCCTTACCATCAGCTTTTTTAATAATGAGATGAATTACTGCATGAGGGACCAAGATTGCACTTCTTTATACACTCAGAGTGCAGGAGCCCATAGGTGTCCATGATGTCCCAGCATAAATGCTTTTCTTTTTCCTCCATCAAAATACTCTTCTGTCAGAATGTTTGGGGAAGCCAAAATCTTGCACACACCAGTTCTGGTGGCATTGCGTTTCAGCAACTTTGTGGCCCCTGCATTTACTGCAGGAAACAATCCCAAGACCCACAGCAAGGGCCCACCACAGATTTGGGTCTTCTTTCTTCTTGCTCTGGATGTCCTGAACACAGAAAAACCCTTCTCCAACCTCCTCTTTTGCAGATCATTGCTGCCACTGTGGACAATAACAAACTGCTTCTGGACATCGATAACAGCAAGATGACTGCTGATGACTTCCGAATGAAGTGAGTACCTCTCTGCGAAACCTGCAT